TCATGGAATTTCATTTTCTTTCAAGAATATAATTTCCAAATAGCATTTTTATCCTAAGTACACCTGCGCCAGGAGGTTGAAAAACCAATGAATGTCAGTGTACGAACAACAACAACAACACTTCATCAGAAATAAGTTGGTGAGGAAATTAATAGCTCGAATATGAAAGCGATCTTCGCACTACTACTCAAGTAGTGTTCATTACTGCGAAGATCGCTTTCATATTCCGTCTTTATCCGCAGTTCAAATGTATGACTTTCATATATTCACATTCGTTTAAGTTAATAACAGTTGGCGGCTTTATGTTCATCTTAGAGATGAACAAGAACATTTAAATTGTATTTGCTTGTTTAAAATGAAAGTTTCGTTGCTCTCAGCGGCGAACGGGGGTTGAAGGAGGACTGCTTTAATGGATTTTCACGCAAATGTGAGACTTAGGGTAGTTGTCTTGCTTTGACAGTCGAATAATGCAGGTAAGTTTAAACTATATTTTTCAAGAAATGAAGGGAAACTTTTTTTTTTCAATGTTTTCTTTTTTTAAGTTCTTAGAACAATAAGCCTAACGAAAAAATTAAAAAGCGAAATTGGAAATCAGGAAAAGGTGATTAATATGGTGGTTAACGTGGCCGGAAATGCAACAACTTACCCCAAACAGTCCAGGGCAGAATTATTTTTTGTTAAAGAATTATCCACAAGAACAATCACTATTCACAATACATAACCTTTGAGTAAGGGAAGAGTCAGTTTCAACGGACACGCGTGTCTTCTCGCGCGCTCCCTAAAAATTCAGTCTATGGTTTCTCTGGCGTCGATTTCGGAAGCTACAAAATTTTGGATTTTTGAACCTTAAATAGGCTTTCATTCCACTTGAAATGAATTAAATTTGCCAACAGTCAATTCATTTAAGGTTTCGTTTCCTCTTTCATTAAATTTTTTCTCGTTCATGACGGTAAAAACAACACTAATAATTTCGCAAATGGCAAGTTTTTTCTTTCTCGTCAAAAATTTTAAAAAAGTGCACATACGAAGAAGTGTCATTAGTGATTTGCTTTTCTCATGTATACAAGGTTTTTCCTCTGTTGAGAAACGCACTCGCCTTAGAGAAATTGGTCAGTATAATTGTATATTTAATGTGAACTATATTCTTGCTTTACAAATCCTCTGAATTATTTAAAAATTAACGGCGGATTTTATAAGCTAAACATGGGTTTAGAGAGACCGTCCTTGATACTACATTGAAAAAAAAGATACCTCTACTTCCTTTCAGAGTAAAAATGAATGCATATTTCGCCTTTTCGTGACTCAGCTGTGCGACAGCTTTATTGCTAACCGCTCTAATTACTCTAGCGAGCAACCAAATGGAAATACCGCTGATCTACATCAACATTTTTATGGACAACTTCATCATAGAAAATCATACAATTCAGTTTGTGAACGTACAGGATCCCGAGGAGTGTTTTCGTCATTGCGCTAAACACTTCGACTATGTTGCGTTTAAGTCATTGGGAAAATATCTGAGGTTCTGGACACCGATGGAGTCATTGCGCTAAACACTTCGACTACGTTGCGTTTAAGTCATTGGGAAAATATGTGAGGTTCTGGACACCGATGGAGTCATTGGAAATCAAATGAAAAGATCTGGAACAGTTTTATATCACGTAAAGAAAAGTGGTGTGAGAGTAAGGTTGTGTTCTTGTTGAGCATTTTTTGACTAAGAATGATGAAAACAGAGAAACCACATGGATCAGTGAGGTTATCATTACAGGGAACCGATGAGAATTCAAAGATCTTTTAAAACAAAACTTCACTCAAGGGCTAGAAAACATGAATGAACGTTCGAGATTGCTTCAAATTAAAGCCTGAAACAAATTCTTTCAAAAACTCATTGACACGAAACCACATTAACTTTATCGTGTAAACAAAAAATTAAAGAGGAATGTTATTTCTTTCTTCCTCCGTGTCGCGTCCCCTTGTCAACAACAAAAAAGGAGTCATCTTTAACATTGGTATTTGCACCACCCCTCTAACATCTAAAAGCTGGCAATTAAAATTCGGTTAAAAAAAAAGTGGCTTCGTTCTTATGGATAATGACTTTCAAGAACTGTTTACGTAAATAAACGCATGCATTACTTCATGTTAAAAATGAGAAGAAAAAGATGTAATGATGCCTCTTCAAATTTCAGCTCTGCTAATTACTATACATTGTTAATTATTGAAAATCATAAGGTTTCCGCTTGCCTCCATGAGGAAAAGCTGTCAACTGCAGGCAGTTAATTGTTATATTTTTTCCGTAACGAATACGGGGGTTTCTCTCTAAAGATCATAGCATTCTTAAGCCTACGGGAGTGAACCATACATAAATCAAAATTTTTTAGGCGTTCACATTTATCATGATTATTTTCCATATCCTTATTCATGGAATTTTAATTTCCTTTCAAGAATATAATTTCCAAATAGCATTTTTATCCTAAGTACACCTGCGTCAGGAGTTTGAAAACGATTGAATGTCAGTGTAGGAAAAATAACAACACTTCTTCATCAGAAATAAGTTGGTGAGGAAATTAATAGCTCGAATGTGAAAGTGATCTTCGCACTACTGCTCAAGTAGTGTTCATTACTGCGAAGATCGCTCTCATATTAACGTCTTTATCCGCAGTTCAAATTTATGACTTTCATATATTCACATTCGTTTAAGGTAATAACAGTTGGCGGCTTTATGTTCATCTTAGAGATGAACAAGAACATTTAAATTGTATTTGCTTGTTTAAAATGAAAGATTCGTTGCTCTCAGCGGCGAACGGGGGTTGAAGGAGAACTCCTTTAATGGATTTTGACGCCAATGTGAGACTTAAGAGAGAGGTGTAGTTGTCTTGCTTGGACAGTCGAATAATGCAGGTAAGTTTAAACTATATTTTTCAAGAAATGAAGGGAGACTTTTTTTCAATGTTTTCTTTTTTTAAGTTCTTAGAACAACAAGTCTAACGAAAAAATTAAAAAGCGAAATTGGAAATCAGGAAAAGACGACTAGTATTGTAGTTAACACGGCCGGAATGCAACAACTTACCCCAAACAGTCCAGGGCAGAATTATTTTTCATTAAAGAATTCTCCACAAGAACAATCATTATTCAAAATACATAACCTTTGAGTAAGGGAAGAGTTAGTTTCAAGGGACACGCGTGTCTTCTCGCGCGCTCCCTAAAAATTCAGTCTATGGTTTCTCTGGCGTCGATTTCGGAAGCTACAAAATTTTGGATTTTTGAACCTTAAATAGGCTTTCATTCCAATTGAAATGAATTAAATTTGCCAACAGTCAATTCATTTAAAGTTTCGTTTCCTCTTTCATTAACTTTTTTCCCGTTCAGACGGTAAAAATAACACTCTAATAATTTCGCACATGGTAAGTTTTTTCTTTCTCGTCAAAAACTTTAAAAAAGTGCACATACGAAGAAGTGTCATTTATAATTTGCTTTTCTCATGTATGCAAGGTTTTTTCTTTGTTGAGAAACGCACTCGCCTTAGAGAAATTGGTCAGCACAATTGTATATTTAATGTGAACTATATTCTTGCTTTACAAATCCTCTGAATTATTTAAAAATTAACGGTGGATTTTATAAGCTAAACATGGGTTTAGAGAGACCGTCCTTGATACTACATTGAAAAAAAAGATACCTCTACTTCCTTTCAGAGTAAAATGAATTCATATTTCGCCTTTTCGTGACTCAGCTGTGCGACAGCTTTATTGCTAATCGCTCTAATTACTCAAGCGAGCAACCAAATGGAAATACCGCTGGTCTACATCAACATTTTTATGGACAACTTCATCATAGAAAATCATACAATTCAGTTTGTGAACGTACAGGATCCCGAGGAGTGTTTTCGTCATTGCGCTAAACACTTCGACTACGTTGCGTTTAAGTCATTGGGAAATATGTGAGGTTCTGGACACCGATGGAGTCATTGGAAATCAAATGAAAAGATCTGGAACAGTTTTATATCACATAACAAAAAGTGGTGTGAGAGTAAGGTTGTGTTCTTGTCGAGCAGTTTTTGACTAAGAATGATGAAAACAGAGAAACCACATGGATCAGTGAGGTTATCATTACAGGGAACCGATGAGAATTCAAAGATCTTTTAAAACAAAACTTCACTCAAGGGCTAGAAAACATGAATGAACATTCGAGATTGCTTCAAATTAAAGCCTGAAACAAATTCTTTCAAAAACTCATTGACACGAAACCACCTTAACTTTATCGTGTAAACAAAAAATTAAAGAGGAATGTTATTTCTTTCTTCCTCCGTGTCGCGTTCCCATGACAACAACAAAAAAGGAGTTATCTTTAACGTTGGTATTTGCACCACCCCTCTAACATCTAAAAGCTGGCAATTAAAATTCGGTTAAAAAAAAATGCTTCGTTCTTATGGATAATGACAAGAACTGTTTGTGTAAATAAACGCATGCATTACTTCATGTTAAAAATGAGAAGAAAAAGATATAACAATGGTTCTTCAATCCATTCAGCGCTTGATCAAGAGACCATTACTGACCGTAATGATTCAGAGATTAAAAGTAAACTTATTTGTTTACGTTTGTTTCCAGACAAATTCTAAATGCCTTAAAGTCAACTGCTAAGCCCACACGCCGATCTGCGTGAATCGTAGTGACGTTCCTGAACAGGAAGGCTTGTGGACTATATAATTCACTCCATATGGAGTCAATTTCTACGATTTGATTGGAACAATAATACAAATGATAGGTTGTCGACCAATCAGGCGTACGCGTACGAAGATTTGTTGTTACCCTGTAATACCATAAAACGAAACAATGAAGCGTTCAATGTAACTACTGACAACTAATCGAGTTGTTGGAGAAAAATAACCCAACAGAAGAAAAAAGTAAAACAATTCTTGTGCCCGTTTTTCTTCTGTGGTTTACCACAGTTCGTCTCTAGAAAACTACATTTCCCTTTCCCTACTCCTCTGTTTATTTCTGTTGATTGATCTATTTGAGAAGCTTTGATTGTTCCTGCAGTAACTCGTAATCTAATAAATCTGACTGCATAGTCTGAAATGGATGCGGTTTGTTTCCACAGGAGGATCTCAGATGTTTCCATTGTACACACTTGTGCAAAGTACCTGGGTTTCCTTGCCTTGTCATACACTGATCCATAAAGCGCTGTAAATTGGAACAAAAACGTTATACGTAGCAAATTTAAACATTTTTTGAAAATAAAGATTTAAGGGGTAAAAACACTTGAATATCATAAACCCAAAACACAGAAACACAACAGCCAACCAAAAAACAAGAAAATTTTCTTAATAGCCATTGAGACTTCAGAGTCAAAAACAGTCAACTTGTCCGAAGCATGGGAAATGGAAATGATGAAGTAGGTACTGATTTTTGTTCTGTGAGTGATTTGTTAAGAAGAAAGAAAGAAGTTTTACAAGTAATCACAATTAAGGCGAAGTCAATAACTCCAGTGATACCCAACATTACCTACACCACTCAGTTACCCAAAGATAATATTTACAGCAGAGTTACACTGAGGTTACTCATTGTAACTTACTTGCGAAGTTAATAACTCCAGTGATACCCAATATTTCCTACACCATTCAGTTACCCAAAGATAATATTTACAGCAGAGTTACACTGAGGTTACCACGTAGTTATATGAAACAAAGACACAAGAATTTAAGTTTCCTTACTGTTGCAACCTCTGGCATTTTTATCACGGGCTTCTGCATCTGCGCAATATGGCCTGAAAAAGACGAGGTGAGCACTTCACGCCATTTATGAAAAAAATAATATTATTTCTAAACCTGCAGCTATTTCCATGAAGTTGCAGTTACTTTGTTTCCTACTGAGTTACATGGCAAGGGACAGGAAAGATGAAAATCCTTTTAGTTTAATATTTTCGTTGTTTTTAGAGCGCTTTCAAATACATAATTAAAAAAGGAAAAAACATTTCCTTTCTTCCTGACCTGTTGTGACTCGCTATCGCAAGTGCAACATTCTTCCTCTCAGCATCTATGGTGGAATCCAATACATTGTGATTCTTCTTGTTCATGAGGATTTGCTGTTCAGAATACGACAGCAAACATGACACAATGTCTGTGTGACCATGAATGACGGTCAGATGCAGCGCAGTGTTCTGGAACAGAGGAGAAGAAGGGTTACAGGTTGTTGACCGCCCCTGGTGAAATATTTTATTATTATAATGAAAACCACGTAATGGTTCAGACAACACCTGCGGCTAATAAATGAGCTCATACAAATCAGACGTGAATAAAAGAACTTCCAGCGCAAACTGCTTTAAGGCTAAGAAGACGTAGAAGTAAAATATCCAAGAACGATTAATCCTTTTTGTGGGAGATCAAGTAAAGATGAATGCACTTAGTTTGCGTGTCTTCACTGGCTTGCTAACAGTGGTCGAGTTTAGAGTTTTTTCCTGGGCCGCAAAGAATCAGACGGAAACCCCAGTCAGACGTAAGAGTTCTCTTTCTTTATCGTTTTTTCCTCTCGTAGATTGGAGCAAATAGTGAGAGGAATGAATTGAAAAATTACAAGTAATTCTTCTTACATTTTTCCTATCTACAGGTTTCCTTTTTAATGGCCCTTCGAAGGTCTGCTATGAAAAGTACGGCTGCTTTAATAAACAACCTAAAGTTCAGTGGGGCTTGATTTGGATTCAACCAAGTCTGCCGCAAAATCCAAATGTTGTTGGCACAACATTTGACATGTACACTAGGAACGGGCATGGAAGAGTAAATGATTATGATGCAGATAAATTGAAGGCCCCAAAGTTTGATATCGCGCGGCGAACAATCTTTGTGATTCACGGCTGGAGAGGTGAGTGCCTGTTTGTGGCTCGAGCACCGAGGAAGGGAGATCATAATAGGCCTACGCTCTTTTTAAAATCTTTTTCGTCCGAAACAGGGTGTTTTTACGGAGAAACTAAAGCATATGTACAGATGAGATTTTAACTACCAAATTTTCCAAAATTTTCATAAAATCTAGAAAAGGCAACCAAGGGCTGGACCATTGAATTGAAAGATGCCCTTTTACAGCGAGAAGACTGCAATGTGATTTTGGTGGACTGGTCTGGAGGAGCGAAAACACTTTATGGACAATCTGTGGGCAATACCCGGCTCGTTGGGGCTCAGACAGCGGAGCTGATAAGGTTCTTGATTAAGAGTGCTTCAGGATCACCTGACTCAGCTAAAATGTTCTATATTGTGGGATTTAGCCTTGGTGGGCAGACTGCAGGGTATGCTGGGAGTTATTTAAAGGAGAAAGCCCGAATGACACTTGGTCGCATTACAGGTAAAGAAACTGAACACAATTAGAGAACCTGGCTGAGCCATTCTAATGTGTTTTTGGAAAAGACATTTTTCTCTAAGAGTCTTTCTCCACCCAGGAGTTTAAAGGGGTACAATGGAGGAGACAGAGAAGCTTGTGAAATGCAGTGCACGGTTGAGAAAGAGCTAGTTTGCTCTCTGTGTTCCTAAACGATAAGCAATCAGGTTAGGAAACGAACAAATTTCGATCTTAAATATTTTAGTGCCATCCCGTGTAAGGCTTTCCGCATCATGAAAGATTTTTCTTTATCTTTGATGAGCGAGTTACTGCCACCCTAATGCCTAGCAATCGCAGCATTCCATCAGAGGGCGAGCTGCAGCATTAGCTCTATTTTTAAAAAGAAACTAGAATGAGATCCGGCTATGCAGATTTAACGATTCTTTCCTCTCAAGGACTGGACCCAGCTGGTCCATATTTTGACGGCAATACTGACCCTCGCTTCCGGTTGGACCCAAGTGATGCTGAATACGTTGACGTTATACACACCGACATGCACAAGAGAGTCGGTTTGGTCGGTTTCGGTATGCGCGATGAGGCCGGTCACGCAGACTTTTTTCCGAACGGAGGCATTGATCAGCGTGGTTGTCTACGACATTTGGTTAAGCTGGGTAGGTTAAACTACAAGGGTAATTAAAATCAAAACACTTAACCTTGCAGTAACATATACATGGAATACAAATGCTTTGGAATACGTTGTTCGAACTTGGAAACTTGGGTATATTTCATCAGGGTTAGAAAGATTGAGGCGACAAACGTATCGTATGAGACAACCTCAGAACATGGCAGGTGAAACCATTAAAGTTTTTTCAGAGCTCATTTGAAAACGACTTTATATTCTTTAGAGTTCATTCAGACAGTGAAGTGTGACCATCAGAGGGCTTGGAGGTACTACATTGCATCAGTGAACAACCCCCGCAGCTGGAAAGCACGTCCTTGCAAGGATTACAAAAACTGTGAAAACGGAAAGACCACGGCTTGCGTTGGTGAATGCCCGTCTATGGGATATGGCGCCGACAAAACAAAACCAACCGGCAAATTTTATCTAGGGACATCCGCCCAAGCTCCATTTCATGGTATGTGTGTCTTTTTGTTCTTTTAGACATGTGCAGATTTATCATTAAACGATTCAATAATGACGGGGATCAGTGATGAATCTTTGATTAGATGATAAACTACTGACGCGATATTTACTAAGGACGATATATCACGATGACATATTTCTTGATCTACCACATATCGCTGTGGAATGTTTTTGTTGAGGGCATTATATAGCAAGATATCGCAGGAAAACTCTGAAATATATCAGTAAACCGATCGGAAGATCAAAATGGGAAACTTGACGATTTCCGTTTATAATACTTTAGCACAGTACTGTGAGAGAGGCAAAGCTATCAAAATATGAGCTGTGAATTAAATAGAGGACAAACATACTCCTTCAATACACCATTTTTGCTTCTTCGTTTTGTTTTTGTTATCTTTAGGATTGAGCTCAGACGCCTCTGTGGAGGGAAATAATATGGGATCCGGAGTCCTTGAGTAAAACATCTGCTACTTCACGTCTGGCATGGATAGGAAATACGTTTCCTTGGTTTATTCTTGCGTTGTTTTATTTTTCCATTGAGTAAGATGAGAATATCGAGACTTTCTTCTGTCAATAACAAATGAAAGAATACAGAGAAATATGTTTTTTCGTCTTTTTACGTCCTTAAAGTGAGCCTTATTCTTGTTTTTTATAAATCTTCTGAGTCATTCAAAGCGGGGGATAAAAAAAAGCCAATTGTGGGTTTAGAGAAACCCTTCTTGATTCTACATCGAAAAAAAGATACCTTTTTCAGAGTAAAATGAATTCATTTTTCGCCTTGTCATGGCTCAGCTGTGCGACAGCTTTCCTGCTTATGGCTTTAAATAATATGGCGAGCAATCAAATGGAAATACCGCTGATCTACATCAACAGCATTTTAATGGACAACTTTACCTTTGAAAATCATGCAATTCAGTTTGTGAACGTCCAGGATCCCCTGGAATGTTTTCGTCATTGCGCTAAATACTTCGACTGCGTTGCGTTTCAAGTCATTGGGAAAATATGCGAGCTTCTGTGCACCGATGGAGCTTTTGGAAATTAAGTGAAAAGACCTGGAACAGTTCTATACCATATAAAGCAAAATGGTGTGAGAGTAAGGTTGTGAAAGTAAAGAAATAATATCGATCAGCCGATGAGACCTGAAAGATCTTTTAAAACATAAATTCATTCAAGCGCGAGCAAACATGAATGAACCAGTCGAGATTGGTTCAAAGCCTGAAACTAGTTCTTTCAAAAAAACTCTCATTTATTGACACAAAACCAAATTAACTTTATCATGAAAAAAAAAATTAAAGAAGAATGTTACTTCTTTCTTCCTCCGTGTCGCGTCACCATGACAACAAAAAATTCTTTAAAATGGGCATTTTTACACCACCCTACTAACATCTAAAAGCTGGCAAGTAAAATTCGGTTTAGAAAAAAACTGCTTCGTTGTTATGGATAATGACTTTCAAGAACTGTTTGTGTAAGTAAACGCATGTATTATTACATGTTAAAAGATGAAAAGAAAAAGATATAAAGATGACTGTTCAATCCATTCAGTACTTGATCAGGATCCCATTACTGACCGTGATGATACAGAGATTAAAAATAAAATGTTGCGTTTATTGTTGTTTACGTTTGTTTCCAGATAAATTCTAAATGTCTTTTAAAAGCCAACTGCCGAATCCACACGTCGTTCAGCGTGAATCGTAAAGACGCTTGTGAACAGGGAGACTTGTGGTCTATTTAATTCACTCCATAGGGAGTCAATTTCTGCGATTTTATTGGAACAATGATGCAAATGATAGGTTGTCGATCAATCAGGGCGTGCGAAGATTCTTTGTTACCCTGTTATACCCTAGAACGAAATAATGAAGCGTTTAATGTGACTACTGGCACCTGGTCGAGTTGTAGGAGAAAAATAACCCGTCAGAAAAAAAAAAAACACTTCGCGTACTTGTTTTTCTTCCGTGGTTTACCACAGTTCATCTTTAGAAAACTAATTTTCCTTTTCCCCACTCGTTCGTTTCTTTCTGTTGATTGATTGATTTGAGAAGCTTTGATTGTTCCTGCAACAGCTCGTAGATTCCACATATCCTAGTGTGTGAGACGAACACAGGGTTAGAGAATCGTGTTATAATTTTCAGCAATGTCTTTTAGAGGCAAAGGACAGGTGGGTTCTACACTGGTGTTCTTTTGAAATTTAAGAGTGCACCATATTTCTTCATTTTTTTTCTCGTTATGCATTTTATTTTTTTGTACAAGAAGGGATCACAAGCACAAACACGCCCTTGTTGTGGCTTTTTTCATTACTTTTGGAAGAAAGCTTTCACACCTTGATTTACATTCGCTGTATTTATGACATGTGATATTTTTTTGTATAGTTTTAATATTAGAAGAGGTTGCTCATTATCAAAATGTTTTGTGTCACATTGCGCATCATACGCATCATAATATTATTTCATAGATGTATCAATAAAAATCTTTCTTTCTGTTCATTCCATCCCTGAAAACTTCCACCACACCGGAAAAGGGAGAAGTTGCAAATATTCTATAATTCTATTCACTAATTTTGTTTCCAACTTGGTGGTTAAAATTTGTAAAATAGCAAGAGGAATGTTGTAACTATGCAATCAAGTAGGTTCCCCCGTTCCCCAGTTCTCTCAATCCACACTTTTTTCATCTCTATATTTTAAGAGAAAATCTCTGACTTAAATATAGTACCTATTCTTCTGCTCCTCCATTCTCTTCAGTAATGGATGAAATGCAGGGGGGAGGTCTGGGGGTGTGTTTTCTTCATCATCATCTCCATAATTTTCTATAAATCCGTGTTAAGTGAAACTCGGCAAGTTATTTCTCTAATGCAAACTGCTAAAATATTTTGCCTTAAAACTCATGAACGAGTAAACGAGTTTCATTTTATTGACTTGACAGAGGATTGATTTTGCCGTTCTTCCGCGTCTAGTCGTTGTACCTTTCCGGGAGGATCGCGGGCTTCTTTCCCGCACGGTGGCCGGTTATCTGGTATGTAGTGACACACAGAGGACAGCATTTCGCGACGTATTGTACGAGGACCATGATCGCACTGAAACTTCCGTCATTGTGGATTGAAAAAAATTCTTATGGCAATTCAGGCGGCGTAATTCAGTTGATAAACAAGTGAGCTGATCAGTCAATATTACCTACACAATTCAGTTACCCAAGGATCATATTTACAGCAGAGTTGCACTGAGATTACTACGTAGTTATATGAAATAAAGACACAAGAATTTGAGTTCCTTACTGTTGCGACCTCTGGCATTTTTATCACGAGCTTCTGCATCTGTGCAATATGACCTGAGGAAGACGAGGTGCACTTCACGCCATCTCTGAAAAAGATAGTATTATTTTTGGTTGCAGTTACTTTGTTTCCTACTGAATTACATAACAAGGGACAGGAAAGATGAAAATCCTTTTAGCTTAATATTTTCGTTGTTTTTAGAGCGCTTTCCAATAAATAATTAAAAAAAAAGAAAAAACATATCCTTATAACATAGCGCGCGTGCTTGCCCTATATAAGTCCTATTGAGCCGCTATGAACAAAATCTTTATTTACGCACGCCCGTGCCTAAACAAGATGACGTGAGTACTTTTTGGCAAGTTTCCTGCAGTCTGTCTTCTCCAATTGCACCGTGCACGGCAGCGTAAACATTATTTTGAACAATCAAAACCCTTGATAACTTCGGTTCTTTGACTTTTACAACATTTTTTAGTGAAACTTGAGTTCATTTGGCTTTGATTTTCTCCATTTTCCCTGTAAATTTTGAGCTTTTCATTCACAGTTATCGGTTAACTGGATCAAATGTTCTTGCGCAAACTTAAAGTATAAAATGTGGCGTGTTTTTGACCAGCCAATAGGGACGTTTGTTTCCTTTTTTTTGTGCGTTGTGAGAATTTTGCATTCTATCCGGCACATTCGCGCAGAGCCTTGTTGTCGTTCTGTTATAAAAGAATTCGCTCATGCTTTTAGCTGTGCGTATATCGAGTCATGGATACACGCGGGAAGTTTGGAGAGCACGAAAAATGCGTAAGAGTAGCTCGAGGCGCAAATTCTTAATTTCTTAATTTCTTCCTGACCTGTTGTGACTCGCTATCGCAAATGCAACATTCTTCCTCTCAGCATTTATGGTGGAATCCAATACATTGTGATTCTTCTTGTTCATGAGGATTTGCTGTTCAGAATGCGACAACAAACATAACACAACGTGTGTGTGACCATGAATGGCGGCCAGATGCAGCGCAGTGTTCTGGAACAGAAGAAAAGAAGGGTTGCAGGTTGTTGACCGCCCCTGGTAAAGTATTGTGTTATCATAATGAAAACCGGGTAATGGTTCAGACAACACCTGCGGCTAATAAATGAGCTCATACAAATCAGACGTGAATAAAAGAACTTCCAGCGCAAAACTGTTTTAAGGCTAAGAAGACGTAGAAGTAAGAAAGCCAAGAACGATTATTCCTTTTTGTTGGAGATCCAGTGAGGATGAATGCACTTATTTTGCGTGTCTTCACTGGCTTACTGACAGTGGTCGAGTTTAGAGTTTTTTCCTGGGCTGCAAAGAATCAGACGGAAACCCCAGTCAGACGTAAGAGTTCTCTTTCTTTATCGTTTTTTCCTCTCGTAGATTGGAGCAAATAATGAGAGGAATGAATTGACAACTTACAGGTAATTCTTTTAAAATTTTTCCGATTTACAGGTTTCCTGTTTAATAGCCCTTCCAAAATCTGCTATGAAAAGTACGGCTGCTTCAATAAACAACCCAATGTTCGGTGGGGCCTGATTCCGATTAAACCTAGTCTGCCACAAGAGCCAAGTGTTGTTGGCACAACATTTGACATGTACACCAGGAACGGGCGTGGAAGAGTAAATGATTATGATGCAGATAAATTGAAGGCCCCAAAATTTGATATCGCGCGGCGAACAATCTTCGTGATTCACGGCTGGAGAGGTGAGTGCCTGTTTGCGGCTCAAGCACCGAGGAAGGGGGCCATGATTGGCTTACGCTCTTTTTAAAATCTCTTATGTCCGAAACAGGGTGTTTACAGGCCCTTGATGCGTTTTACGGAGAAAATAAAGTATATGTACAGATGAGATTTTAACTACCAAATTTTTCAACATTTTTTATAAAATCTAGGAAAATCAACCAAGGACTGGGTCATTGAAATGAAAGATGCCCTTTTACGACGAGAAGACTGCAATGTGATTTTGGTGGACTGGTCTGGAGGAGCAAAAACACTTTATGGACAATCTGTAGGCAATACCCAGCTCGTTGGGGCTCAGGTAGCAGAGCTGATAAGGTTCTTGATTAAGAGCGCTTCAGGGTCACCTGACTCGGCTAAAATGTTCTATATTGTGGGATTTAGCCTTGGTGGACAAACCGCAGGGTTTGCCGGGAAGTATTTAAAGGAGAAAGCTCGAATGACACTTGGTCGTATTACAGGTAAAGAAACACAATTATAAAGTATAGATTGGAGGTCCGGGGTTGGAGACCTGGGTGAGCCATTCTGAATGTGTTTTTGGAAAAGACAATTTTCTCTCAGAGTCTTTCTCCAACCAGGAGTATAAAGGGGTACAATGGAGGAGACATAGAAGCTTGTGAAATTCAGTGCACGGTTGAGAAGGGCTATTTTGTTCTCTGTGTTCCTAAACGATAAGCAATCAGGTTATAGAGACGAGCAAATTTCGATCCAAAATATTTTAGTGTCATCCGGTGGAAGGCTTTCCACATCATGAAAGATTTTTTTTCTGATCTTTGATGAGCGAGTTTCTGCCACCTTCGTGCCTAGCAATCGCCTTGCAGCATTCCATCCAGGGCGAGCTGCGGAATTAGCTACATTCTTAAAAAAAGAAACTAGAATGAGATCCGGCTGATGTGGCCCAGTGCAGATTTAACCATTCTTTCCTCTCAAGGACTGGACCCAGCTGGTCCTGCTTTTGACGGCATTGCTGACCCTCGCTTCCGCCTGGACCCAAGTGATGCTGAATACGTTGACGTCATACACACCGACATGCACAAGAGCAGCGGTTTTGTCGGTTTTGGTATGCGCGATGAGGCCGGTCACGCGGACTTTTTTCCGAACGGAGGCATTGATCAGCCTGGTTGTCTACGACATATGGCTATGTTAGGTAGGTTTAACTACAAGGGTAATTAAAATCGAAACACTTAGCCTTGCAGCAATATGTACATGGAATATAAATGCTTTGGACTACGTTGTTCGAAGTTGGAAACATGAGCATATTTCATCAGGGTCAGAAAGATTTAGGCGACGAACGTATTGTTTGAGACAACCTCAGAACATGGTAGATTAAACCACTGAAATTTTTCGGAGCTTATTCGAAAATGGCTTTATATCTTTAGCATTCACTAAGACAGTGAAGTGTGACCATCAGAGGGCTTGGAGATACTACACTACATCAGTGGAAAATCCCCTCAGCTGGGAAGCATATCCTTGCAATGATTACAAAAACTGTGAGAACGGAAAGACCACGGCTTGCGTTGGTGAGTGCCCGTCTATGGGATATGGCGCCGACAAAACGAAGCCAACCGGCAAATTTTATCTAAAGACATCCGCCAAAGCTCCATTTCATGGTATGTGTCTCTTTGTTCTTTTAGACATGTGCAGATTTACCATAAAACTGCCATGGCAAGTAACACTTGCACCTGTTATGTTAAATGATTCATTGATGACGGGGATCAGTGATGAATCTTTGATTAGATGATAAACTACTGACGCGATATTTACTAAGGACGATATATCACAATGACATATTTCTTGATCTACCACAAATCGCAGTGGAATTTTTTGTTGAGGGCACTAGATAGCGAGATATCGCAGGAAAACTCTGAAATATATCAGTAAACCGATCGGAAGAGATCAAAATGGGAAACTTGACGATTTCTGTTTATAATACTTTAGCACAGTACTGTGAGAGAGGCAAAGCTATCAAAATATGAGCTGTGAATTAAATAGAGGACAAACATACTCCTTCAATACATCATTTTTGCTTTTTCGTTTTGTTTTTCTTATCTTCAGGATTGAGCTCAGACGCCTCTGTGGGGGGAAATAATATGGGATCCGGAGTCCCTGAGTAAAACATCTGCTACTTCACGTCTGGCATGGACAGGAAATAAGTTTCCTTGGTTTATTCTTGCGTTGTTTTATTTTTCCATTGTGTAAGATGAGAATATCGAGACTTTCTTCTGTCAACAACAAACTAAAGAATATAGAGAAATATGTTTTTTCGTCTTTTCACGTATGTGGGACTAAGAAAAAAACATCTTTCTCTATTTCAAAATAGAGAGCTCAAAACTTACCCCATCTCTTACTCGCTTTGAAAGGATATAATTTAGAAGATTATATGGATTGCCACGGAAAGTGAAATAAGAAAGAAATATGAAAGGGTAACATTCTGTGGGGATGGCATTAAGAATAATATAAAACTATAGAGATTCCCTTGGACTCACTAGACATTCACTGTGGCAAAAACTCTTTAATGTCCATTTAGGTGGAGGGTGGTTGTGGGGGGAAGGGTGTGATGGTCTCCGGGGATGAACAAACGCAAGACTTCAGAGATGTTACGCTCCAGCAGCAAAGACCTTTTCGGCTCCTTTTATCGGTTGAAACTTTCAGGATGTTAAATTTTTGTTACTTCTAAGAGCTACGTACCGTACCTGATTCTTGTCGAAGAGATTAATGCACTGAGGATGATTTTGTAAAATGCACTGCACACATCGCTTGGAGCCCCTCATGGCTGCAATATGTAGAGCTGTTCTGTCATTGTGATCCCTAAAAGTGTATCACAGATAAACTTAGCATTTTGCAGGGTTAAAATTAAAGCTCTCTCTTTGTTGATGCAGCGCTCCTGTGCCAGTTAATGCATCACACGAAATTACCAAATTTATAAACATAAGTATACCCTCGTCTTTCGCCAACTGTACTCTCTCTGCCTCAGTCTTTCTTCTTTTTCTAAAGACGAACGTTCAAAACCAAAACCTTCGGAGGCGACCCCGTGTGAACAATATGTGTCGTATAAACTCAGCAGAGATATTTCACGAATGATTTTCAGGCAATACTTTCGAAAGTGTTCTTGCTTCAGTTACTGATGTTTTCTCAGTTTTTCTGTGGTTTCGTTGCACTTTTGGACTCATGACGGACGCGGAAGGCGGATACTTTTTAAGATAGGATCTTACAGTAGCTTCTTGATGGAATTTGGAAGCATGCCAGGTGATTTTAAAAAGTGTGCTCAGTATACGTAGCCTTGTCATTACAGATCATTTTAATTAAGTTGCTATATGAGAGGGAGTCATTTGTCTCTTGGAACTTCTCCCTTCCCGTGACCTCTCCCCGGCATGCGAGGATGGCACAGGCGAGGATGCGAAGATTTTATCGAAAGGTTCCCTGCACTCGTGTTATTCGAAAAAAAAAGAGCAGATTTCTCGTTATCTGAAACCTTACTTTTTCCAGACAAGCGCCAAGCTTAATCAAAAGCTCGACTACTCTATCATGGCCTTCTGCGCATGCGAACTGTAGAGATGTTTTTCCTTGGTTGTCTTTCAAGTTTGTGGAGCGAGTTTTGCGACCTGTCAGCACTACCTCGACAATTTCTTTCCAGCCGTATCTGAAGATGAAAACAAACTTGGATCAAACATTCAATCTGACTGTGAATCTCTCCACCTGGGGATTTTAACGGGTACCAGCAAACTGTCTGGCTGACTTGAAGAAAGGGGTAAGTTTCTAAAGAAACTGTGGTGCTGCGTCGGTGGGAGAGTATAGCAGGTAATTTAGCGTTAACAACTGAGTTGAAAACGTAAATTAGCCACCGTAAAGGGTAAAAAAGCTGACGTTTCGAGCGTTAGCCCTTCGTCACAGCGATAGACGAACGACGCTCTGACGAAGGGCTAACGCTCGAAAAGTCAGCTTTTTTACCCTTTGCGGTGGCTAATTTACGTTTTCAACTCAGTTGTTAACACTAAATTACCTGACTTGAAGAAATACAGCGGGGAGGGAGGGTGTGGGCGGGGGGTTGGGGGTGAAAGTTACCTGAGATACAAGCATCCCATTTGATATTTTGCCTGGCAGCGCCATGGAGAGCTGTATCCATTTCATCTGACGTCACACTAGTAGCTGCCTTGTTTCGTTCCATGAACAATAAAATGTTCTATTGAATTCAAAACATTCGAATTAATAGTGACTGACGTTACCTCTAAGGAAACCATGAAAATGCTTAAAAGTTGCTGGAGGCGCAGTAGAGAGAACTTTCACTAAGTTCCCAATTGCAAAAAGCAAAGTGCAAGCTAACTTAAGAACCAATTGTTTTAATTCTATTTCACTATGGTAGTTGAGATGTTTTAAAAGAAGGAGTTTGTTCGCGATACTTCAATGCGAATACACACATATCAGCATGTACAATAGAGATGTGCATGAGGTCTCTGATCGCTCGAATTTACCTGTCATATTATTGTAATATTTTATATATTTATATCCTTTACCCGAAAGTGACCATACTTGACGGCGTAATGGACTGGCGTGAAGCCTGTGATGTCCTTGTCAGTTATTAGCGGGTAGGCCTCTCGTTTCTATATTGAAAGAAGAACAAGACTCGCTCTGCATGCTTTTCAAAATATTGTTGAATTCTCAAAACGACGGAGACATCATCTTAGAATCAAGCAGATCATAAGTAGGTTTCCACCGTTGAGAATTCTATAGAATAGAATCTACAGCGGGTTTTCTTAAACTTGAAGGCATCATGTTTGATCATCTTATTCAGTTTGATTGGATCAGGTTGATTTTTTTTCATTTTTATGATTTGCCACTGAGAGCACCCTCTTGTGATGCTACCACAAATCCATTAATTTGCCTCCTTCTCATTGAGACGTTACGTTTCTAATAGGCCTGTGAGGGAGGCTAATATATGATCTTTCATTAATTTCATTAGTCATTAAATACCTTAAACAGTATGCATGTTTTAAGAATAATTTTTAAACCGTTCCCCTCCAAGGAGAAACTTCTGCGCGTTTCCTGTCGTTTTGTCAAAATCATGTTTTTTCTATTATATACTGTCGAGAAAAGATTCTTTCATACTGATAGTGACTCAGCTACCTGTAGTAACAGCTCCATAGTAGATGTATGTCCAACAGCCACTCTGACACATGGTCGTAGATCTACATCTTTTACCGTGACGTCAGCGTAATGCGTAATAAGTTCGCCCGGTCCGTCGACCCGACGTTGTTTTAGTACACATTCGCATCAATTAATTACGTTTAAACATGTTGTAGTAAAATTATACTGCATATTAGGATGTACATCAACGGTTCGCTTTTCTTCAACAATATCGAGATTCTGCCTGTTCCTATGTGTTTCTCAGTTTTTCATAGCTAATTGTGGATTAAAATGTACTGTACCTTTGGTTGCCGAATGATGGCCCCGCTGTCCAGACAAAGTTGCACAACCTGAAGCATGACGATTCAAAATTTTAAAAACCTAAACCTTAGGACATAATTGAAGACTTTGTACCTTCAGGGTCAGGCTCGAGACGTCAAAAATACCTTCATCAACTTTATACGCACAGAAAGAAAGATGATGAATTTTTTTTTGAGATAGCTCGTCGAATATTAAAAAAATCTTATTCGCTTCGAGAAGTTGACTTGCCTGGAAAAACAGATCAGGGAGACTTACTTCTTCTCAAACATTGCCATCGATTCTTTAAAGTCCCTCTCAAGCAGAGAGGATAAAACGTTTAAATATTGAGGTCCGCAAGGTGTGCGTCATTGTAGAAGGGCTTTCATGAAAGAAAAATGTAAGGGAGAAATAGAGATTATTCCATGAAAAATGCACCCGAGCGATCTTTATTCACGAGTTGCGATGCACCTAAAAAACAAACGAGTGCAGCGCATGAAAAAAAATTTAAAAATCGTCCATGTTCTTTCCATAGTATGATCCTTTTATTTCATTCGTGCTGCTGACCGACACATTTCAAAGATTGGAGGCCATTTGTTGCCCTCTTTTATGAAGTACTATGGCTCGTGTTTCTGATTGGACAAACGATGTATTTTCACAGTCGTTCGTTCAATATGTGTGAGATAATTAATAATACTAACCAATATCCTGCATATGGCCACTTTGTCCATATCAGCAGCGATGTGAAGAGCGGTTCCTGAACTATGTCCTCTGATGTTTGCATCACATCGACCAACTCGGAGTAAAGTCTGAAATTTTAATCGTAAATCGAGGTAGGCTTTACTGATTAAGCAATTTAAAATTGACCCATCTGCCTTGTGTTTAATTAACTGATTTGATTTGATTGTGCTTTGTTTGACTGATCGACTTATAAAGTGATAAGGCGTACTCTGACAAAGTTCTCGTCTCCAGTTCGAACTGCGGTGTGAAGCGGTGAATCTTGGCTCTCATCCAGAAGATATATTTTGGCCCCAGCCCCAAAGAGCATCTCCATGATCTTCACGTGACGTCCCAATATGGCATTGTGAGGTGGACTTCTTCCTAACTTATCCAACAGATTAATATCTTCAGAACAACACAGCAGATAAACAAATAAATAAACAAATAACAAAACAAAGCAAAAACAATAAAACCAAGGCGTTAGTACTAAGAAATGGAGGCGAAATTCTATGGCTGCTTTACGCTAAAGGCCTTTCCGTTAAAAAATTTTATCTCTACCTGTTCCCCAGGCTTATTTACAGAAACGGACAGCAGTTCTTAAAGTAAGAGAATTGCCGAGGAAAGACTTGCAAAGAAGGCATCCGCTAACCCAGGTGATGTGAAATCACCAAAATTTGCGTATTCTGAGCACGATAGCGAAAGTTTTTATTTGAAACTCAACTCTGCTCCCTCTCGAGACAATTCAAGTCCAGCCATTCGCGAAATTCTAAAAATATCAATTCATTTATTTATTCGATGTCTCCCTTGGCGTTGACGTCCTGACTGCAAGATGTCCCTAATTTATGATTCGTTCAGGTTGTAAAATAGATCCGTGGAGATGACTCCTTCATGACTTTAAATTATTTATCTTATTTCCCATTTTAGTGCATGCACACGAAAGTAGAAAAGAAAAGTACATTTTTTGTTTAGACGTCGTTGTCATAGTTACGGATACCTCATCATGTCCTATGTCATAGACATTACTGCCTTGCGACTGGTGAGACAGCTGACTCAGTGCTTTGGCTCGCTGGCGGCGATCAAGGTCTGAACTCAAAAGTATTAAAGGTACTTCTTCATCACCAGATCTCTCTTGAGGTAAGTGGCCATTCATGCTAGAATCCATTGCAATCTGAGGGATTGGAGGACAATGAAAGAATATTAACAGATAAAATAATACGTAAGTAAAAAAATGTATCAGTAGGAAAAATAAAAGCTATCGGCAAGAAAAATGGAAAGAGCATAGCGAGCGCCACTTGCCCGGAAGGAACGAGGGTGCAGCCATGAAACTAGTGTCGATTCTTCATGACGTCTTTGCTGTAGTGACTTTAAACTCAGACCCCCGGTAGAATAATAAAAATAATTTAAAGTTAGCCCTTGTTTACATAGAACACCCTTTGGACTTCCCTGCATGATAAGAAAACTATGTGAATGCTACTTGTTAATTATCTTTTTGTTCGTTTGTTTTGTTGATCAAGCTGGAAATGAAGCGTAAAGAAAACGATTGTAATTCCATAAATTCAAAATTTGCATAAAGATACAGACAAAAATTTTCAGTAATACATGTACTTCGATGCAATTCAGTCGGTTACACTTAAACGCTTGTTAAAGAAAGCTTTGGACAATCTAGGATATCTATGACTTGCAAATAAACAAATAAATAAACCGATAAACAAGAGAGCAGAAGTTTGCGGAACAAGTTGAGGTCTGGAACGTGTGTTGTTTTACGCCCTAATTTCTGAGAAACTACACAAACTGTTATATAAATAACCTGGTCTGTAATAGGAAGTTTGATAAATAACAAGTGAATCTCACCAACAAGTGTTGGAAACTTTCATGAAATATCAATGAGAGCGCATTAAAAGTTTAAAAGCAGCGATGTTTTGATTGTCTACTCATTAAGACAATTATTGCAAGTCTGCTGGTCCGCTATTCCACAAGTCCACTTGTCAGCAAATCAGTTAGTCAGCTTGTCAATGTGTCAGCTATCGATTTAGTCCATCACAACCAAGCGATTTTAGTTACAGTTACACTGAAGGATCTGGGTTCGAGATTAGATATGGGATACTTGATAAGCCCCGTCAAAGATGAAATTTTCATGTGAAGACTCAGACATGATCAGTTTGAATTTTCAGCAAGGATTTTAAATTAGGGAAGAATGGCTGACTTGTGATCTCAATAAATACACCAACCCTCTCCGTGCGACATTGAGGTTGCAAACTCAGGCGTATTGAACAGCAATGGTAAGACAAAATAAATTCTAACTGCTCTTGTTTCACTAATAAACCTAAACTTCCTTTGTTCTCCATTTCTAATTGTTTATTTTTCTCTCCTTTACAGCAGAGCACTTCAAATTGGTTTTCATCATGGTTGATTGAGTCGCACCTCGGCTCATGGTTGATTGAGTCTTACGGCAAAACTTAAGTTGTAAATATACATTTCTTAAGAAAAGGTGCTCACTATTTTTATTCGACACGAGCCTGTCGAGTTATCTACTCCAACAAACTTCTTCCTTTTCATGTTTTTGATGTAAAGGTCATTTTGTTCAAATATTATTACAAAAGGATTATACTTGCATCCGCTTGTGTAAACATGCCTTTGATATGCAAACACTTTGAAACCAATCATATGGAGTGTAATCTGTCAATCATATCTGCTCATTTCTCGAAAAGCGCGAAAAAAAAATAATACGAACAGGTACTGCATGTAATTGGAAAACCTTCTGCCGCTGATTTTAAACCGGACCTCCTCGAAGTTAACAATGTATTTATCACTGAATTTAATATTTCATTGTCTTTTACATGAATAGTCTATCATTTCAATTATAGTGTTTATAATTAGAGAGTTCGATAGAAGGATAACAATCTATAAACAATAGATTAAAATAAAGTGCTCGAAGGTTTAATTAACAAAACACAAAGCTTGACGGGCTTGTTTGCTGGTAGTGATTAAGACAGGACTAAGGTCAAAGGGGTGAAATTTCACTCCAGTGTTTGTCTCATCAAGTTCTATGCAATTTGTCCGGAAAAGCGAAATTATGGCAAAATCGATTTTTATATTTGAAAAAGTTCGTTTTGGTTTTAAAAAAATTTGTATTCTTTAAAAACATAACTTGAGGTGTGACTTCTACTTGGGTTGCGAAAGCGAAATTATGGTACAGGCATTAATGAAATGAATTGCTTATATTGAAAGTTCAGACGTATTAGAAGTCTTCATTTTGACTATTCGATCTCAAATAACGACACGTTTTCAGTTTGTCGCAGATTTCGGATAAAACTGACAGCGATACCGACCGTCGTCTCGTTTCTAACTTCGCATTCAATTTCCCGTTCGGAAGATGGAGTGCTTGAGGTGCTGTATCATCCGAGCCTATCCGTTTTCGATCCCGTTTCTTAGTGCTGGAATAAAGCCGATTAAAAACGCTGGCCTTTTTCTGTTCCCTATTCTTTGTTTGCTCTTTCGATGAAGAAACAGGCAGCAATATCAACCCTCGATGAACTTCGCCGCTGTTGCTAGCGCTATCTCTGACAGAAGCAGCCGTAGCAGGTCGTCGAGGGATCTGAGAGAGATTATTTGGTAGATCAAAGTTAAAAGCTTTCGGGCTGGTAGGTGAATTCAACGGGACAGATGAATCGACAAGATTTGCTCGCTGTAACCCGGGTGAAAACTGTTGTTTACTTTCCAAATTTTCTTCACGCCGTGCTTCGTTCACGTTTGTTGTTGAATTAGAGCCTGACAGCATTTGCGGAGAACTCGACTGTCTTGTTAAAAGTTTGTGTTCCGGTTTCGGTGATTCCATGAGACGGGAGGGAGAAGCAGGGATCAGGGAAGATCCAGGGTGAAGATTTCTAGCTTTCCTAATCCGCGGTGGCGTCGCCACAATCCCAGCTCGATCTAAATACAGTGGTGGAAGACTGTGGGCTTTTTGAAGCCTAGTAACTTCGTCTTCTTTGCTTAAACCTGTGTTTAGATCTAAAATCTCTTGTTGTGAAGATGGTGTTCCAGCCCTTATGCCGTCAGTAGTGCTTGGAGACTTGACCAGAATCTTCCTGCGCTGAGAAGTCGGGGAGCTAAGAAACATTTCGTCTTTCTTCATTTGCAAATTTAACAGACGCATATTTCTTTCGGCCTCTAAGTTTCTGACCTGCTTTTCAAGCTGATGGCTTTTGGTAGAATTAACGCTGATAGCATTTCTTACAGAAACGCTAACTTTTGTGGCAATGTAATCATCCATTACAAAAGAACCGCTCCCAGTGTTTTCAATGATTTCTCATCATGGTAACCGACGGTAAACTGGCCAAGTGTTATTGTCGGATGAATTTTAAATGTTCAAAACACCCATTAACGTGAAGCAGATGTTTTTTCAATGAAAGCTGACAACCCTTTTAAGCTGCCCAGGAAAAGCTCATTTGTCAAAGATATTGACTAACGCTATATATGTTTTTCAGTTCTATCTGTAATCTGTTTGTTCAATTGTAGAAGCTACGATTGGTTCAAATTTATTTTGTGTTAATTACTTCTGTATGCGCCTCTGGAAAAGCGGATTCGGCTTTCTGCTGGATGAATTTACCTTCCCTGTGTTTTCCACTAATCATAATGAAAACCATGATGGTAGTTTTATTCAAGATTAGTATGATGTTTCCTGTTTCTTTTCCTAGTATTTGCCACACGAAGTTCAAAGAGGAATAATAGAAATAAGACATTTGAGTCCATCAATCTTTCATAATAAATGGTAGTTTATCTCCATTTTAAAAATTTTATCGGTGCATGTTCGGGTTTGAAAATACTTTTCCACTTTTTTTAAAATTCTTAATTTTATTGATATTTTCCGAGAAACGTGAGAGGAGCTTTTAAAACTTGGCGCACTTAAAAAATGCCAAAAAAGTCGCCAAAATGTGAGGTGTTAGTCATTAACTGTATTTACATATGATATAGCTTTATGCCATCCATTAATTTCAGTTGCCTAGAAATGGTACAACCCACACTGATAAAAATTCAGAAACTAATTATCGAACTCAAAAGGCTCCTGATGAGCTACAATGCACATCTGACTGGGAGATAAAATACGCATTCGTCCTTTTCAGAACCTTCTTGATGAATATTTCGTTGGTAATTATCACTACACGAGTTTTAAAGCTATTGAAACCTTCACCTTGACGAAGTGTCAAGGTTCTATTTGGCGACAGGATTAAAAGAGACAACTAAATAAATAATACTTGATTCCTCTGGTAAAATTAGAATTTCAAATTACGCCGGGTGGGATTTTACAACCGCTGCAAGCATTTATTTACTTAAGATAAAATTACAAATTAAGTGAGACTCGAGGCAAGCCGCACCGAAAGAGATACATATTAAATTAGAGACAGATGGAGTCTGAAATATAATTTTACCTTGAAATTATTGTCACAAAAGAAATGTATTCTTTAGCGGCCATCTTGAATTTTAAAACATGCGGGCATTGGAAGTCTGGAGCCGAAGATGACGAAAGTGCGCCAGAAAGGTCTGGCACGGGTCGTGAAGATCTTTCTTCGGCTAACAGCAGGTTTAGTAAAGTTAGGTTTCTTTCTGCTTCTATAAGTTTTAGAACTGAAACAATTTTTTTCGCAAAAACTAAAAGGAAATAAAAAGATTTGTCAGCTACACCCTGAAGAAATTTGTTGATCCAAACAAAAGTACTAAAAGAAAACTGAAAAACAATGAAGACTGTAAAATTTTAATTTTCTTCACAGTTGAAGTTGTATTGTTCTCAATTTTTCTATAACAACAAACTATTTTCATAACAGTGCTTTCAAAGAGCGGGAATAACAGAATCATAAATATTTAAGTGAAGTCGGATGACAAATGAAGTTGCAATGAGGATATCCTATTATCTAGATGTCAATATTTGATTTGAAACAATATCATTTGAGTTCTAGGCCAGCAAAACAAGTAAGTTGAAAGGGGACAAATTATTCTAATTCAAGCGCAGTTAAATATTTTGAATCAAAAACCAAATTCTGGAATTTTTAACTCCTTTCTTCGTCGTATCAGCGTAGTAATATATTTGTCAAGACTTGTAAAAAAAGTCGCTGGACGCTAATATCTAAAAGCTGAAAAGTGTTGAAGGGGGAATGCCATGAAAGACCT